TGCACACTCACATACAGCTCTCCAAATCAGGCTTGTGTTGCGTGCAAGCTATTGTGCAGCAACTGCCCCATTGTAAAAACTGCATGGTCAAACATTTAGGTGAAATGATTATACATTTTTGAAAAATATCTTTTAAAAAAAATACCCCCTCCACCCCTCAAATTAAAAAAATCCCCCCCAGAAGAGTCAGCTAAGATGGCAGTTCCCCCATTTTCAAAAATGAAATTCAGGCCCTGAATGAATGTCTGTAAAAACCTGATTGGAGCATCACTATAAATGATTAAATGATCTTCAAAAAGATCGGTGTCAATGATCATATCGGCAGATACTGCTTCCTGTGATCGGCTCCAAAATTCCTGATCGGAGCACCCTTACCATCAGGTGAACTTCATAAGCATGATTAAAAGCAATTGCACACCTCTCCTGAATAAACCATATCTTTAGTAGGGCTGGGACAATAAATCGATGCATCACGAATCGAGAAATGATTCTGAGATTTTCCGAAGGCATCGTGATTCTCTCTTGAACGGATTCTGAGCTTAGTTCTTAACAGCAGATGGCACTGCGTGCTTTAGAAATAGCCGTATTCTGCTTGCTTCCAATGCATCGATTTATTGTCCCAGCACTAATCTTTAGAAAAACCATTCAGTCCAAAGTTTAATGGGATAGTTCACCCCAAAAAAAGACAATCCTGACATCATTTACTTGCATTCATATTGGAAGCCCGTTTCCGCCATTGAATAAAGTCGTCACAATTCTAAGAAAAACGTCAGAATTGTGTACATTTTTATTTTTTAGTCTTTATTTCCTCAGAATTGAATTTATAACTCTCAATTGTAAGTTTCGTTCGGAATTGCGAGATATAAAGTCACAACTGCAAGAAAAAACTAAATTGCAAGAAAAAAAGTTCGATAAAATAGCAATTACCTTTTTTATTCAGTGGTGAAAACGGGCTTCCATACTCTCAAGCTGCTCCAAACCCGTGTTCGATACTTTGTAACCAAACAGCTGCTGGTAGCCATTGACGTTCATGTATTATTTTTTCTTCCCCATACTATGGAAGTCAATGGCTACCGCCAACTGTTTGGTTACCAACATTCTTCACAATATCTCATACACAAAGGTTCGGAAAAACAAACATGTGGGTGAGTAAATGATGATAAAGTTTAAATTTGTGGATGAACTATCCCTTTAATACTTAATATTAGGGATGTCAACGAACGCGAGCAAAAGAAATAGTGATGAATGACATGACAGTCAAGTTGAGCTAAACTTTACATTTAAAATGAGGGGTTTTAAAACAACGACTCAAGTACTTCTAGAATGCTACAGTGTAGTAAATGATAAAAGAGAAAGTGTAAAAGTACTTTTAAGTTGTTGTTCAATTCTTCCCCTCATAAGAAGCTTTGAAACATTATGATGTGTTGTTTGGAGCATAAACATATGAACTTTTTTTTAAATGCTTCAAAAACGGTGTTCCAAGGACAAAATAAATAAGAGCATTTTTAAGTGAACTATTCCTTTAACTTCGATCATGAAGGGTCAAACGGTTCATGGCAATTTTCCCATATTAACATGAAAAGCCACTCTTGTGCATTTCTTCAATTACTACATTGTGAAGCCCGAGCCAAACATGCTTGAACACACATGACCAAATCACATCTCAAGGCCGTGTTAACAGGGCAAACGGGAGCAGGACGTTTCATTGGTGAAATGCAGAAATGGGTCATTGTTGCATATGAAAGCATCGCTGCCGTTTAAATTTGTGGATGAACTATCCCTTTAATACTTAATATTAGGGATGTCAACGAATGCGAGCAAAAGAAATAGTGATGAATGACATGACAGTCAAGTTGAGCTAAACTTTACAGCATGTTTTGCATTTAAAATGAGTGGTTTTAAAACAACGACTCAAGTACTTCTAGAATGCTACAGTGTAGTAAATGATAAAAGAGAAAGTGTAAAAGTACTTTTAAGTTGTTGTTTAATTCTTCCCCTCATAAGAAGCTTTGAAACATTATGATGTGTTGTTTGGAGCATAAACATATGAACTTTTTTTTAAATGCTTCAAAAACGGTGTTCCAAGGACAAAATAAATAAGAGCATTTTTAAGTGAACTATTCCTTTAACTTCGATCATGAAGGGTCAAACGGTTCATGGCAATTTTCCCATATTAACATGAAAAGCCACTCTTGTGCATTTCTTCAATTACTACATTGTGAAGCCCGAGCCAAACATGCTTGAACACACATGACCAAATCACATCTCAAGGCCGTGTTAACAGGGCAAACGGGAGCAGGACGTTTCATTGGTGAAATGCAGAAATGGGTCATTGTTGCATATGAAAGCATCGCTGCCACATGGCTGCTCTCCTGTCAGAGAACAACGTGTCTTTTGTTTTCATCGGTTTAAACGGCTCATGGTAAACATATCCTGAGATCCCAGCAGCGCACCGCCACGAATCCCAGTCGCAGTTGACAGATTAGCGTGATTGCTAAATCAACAGTAGATTGGGAAGCGTTAATCTGAGCTGATCCAAACGGACGTGCATCAGGGTGCAGACGTCTCGCGGAGCCGGGCCCGTCCATTAACTCCAGCCTGATCCTTTTATCTCTTCACCAGCCATCATTCCCTCCATCACTCTCCACCGCCCTCGAGAAAAGTAAAAGCAGACCGGGATCCAAAACGGTTTCTCTTACGTGGAGATTTTTTCAATTACTTGGTCACGGACGGGTTTTAAGTTTTAAAAATTGTACAGGCATCTTTTTATTTGTCCTTGGATACAATTTTCATGGGCAGGAGGCCACCTCCAAAATTTTTACTGGTCCAATCAATCAATCAATACATTTGATGAAAAAGTTCAATATAGGCATGTGAAAAAAATAAAAAGTTTAATAAGTAGTATTATAACAATTATTATTGTTTTAAAAACAATACATAACTTAATATTTATACATTTTACTATTTTAAATTTTTTTATAATATATTTATAATAACTTTTGTTACACGCTAACGTTTAGTAGTTTTTAATAATATCTTAAATTATTATTATACACTAACACACATCACTAAATAATGCGTTTTAAATGCAAAGCATGAAATTATACAGTAATTCCAATTAAACAGGAATAAATTCATGAACACTACCAGTATTTCTGGAAAATGATGGCATGCGTGGGGAGAAATCAATACTGACTGTTTATCATTTTCAACCCATTCTTACTGATACTACCAAGATTATCACGTCATTCTTGCAATTTTGACAAAGCTATGTCAGCCAAAATATCAACCTATCAGACAAATTTAAAAGAATGAAAAGCAGAATTCACAATGGCCAAAGATATAATGCTGATATAGCAAGTGGCACTTCTGTCAACCACAGATCATCTTTATCGCTTCAGGCACTCTAGATAGCGCTCTCAGCATCGCTCGAGCACCAGTATACAGCCAGTAGTGAAAGCATGAGCACAGGCCTAGAAGAACAAGCCCAGATCAGCAGAACAACTAGTTCCTCGTTGTGTAAAGCATATTCCTCAAGGCGATTAAATCGATTTCCTTCAAAAGGCCTACTGCTACAGGAGCTTGAGGAGAACCGGTTTGACCTTGAGAGCAAAGGGAGGAGGGGCAGAATGCAAGAGGGGGGGGGGGGCGCATGCATCACGCCCAGCAACACCAATCCTGCTGAAGAAGAGCTGAGCTACTGCAGAGTTTAGCATCACAAACCCCACTGGGCTGCTCGTCTGACCCCAGTCCTGCAGCTACCAGGAAATAGTTTCATGCAAAGCCGGTTACCAAGCAACTGGGTATTTAAGAAATTGCTCCCCACCCCCACCAATAATTATGGACACTTTGCAGCTTTGAGGAGAATCTACACGCAAACAGTGCATTGCAAAACAAGGCCAGATAGAGAAGAGAACAGAAAGCATCTCCTCCTCGAGCTTCCTCGGTGAAGCAATTGTGTATCGTATCGTCTCAAGCAGGGCGGTGAGCCTCAGCAACGCTCATTTGCATATCGAATGCATGCGGAGGCTACTTCGCCACGGCCGCGAGTGATTGACAGCCGAGACATTCCAGAAGAACGCACGCGCTGCTACTTCCAATATCGAATATGGCAACATTCTGAATGAAATGTTTCAATTTTTTTTGCGCCTGTTCTCCATTTCCCACGCGGTGTTTTCTCCAAACAGGTAAAATCTCAAACTAGAGACGCTAAATGAACCCGAGGCAGGTGCGAGATAGCAGCCGCGAATAACCGACACACGGTATATATTTAGCATACAAATGATTATTATAAACGATAAGGTGACAGGCCTGCTGTAGAGAGAGAAGTGGTGACATTCAGGAAAGCTATCTATCCATAGACCTCGAGCCTCGTGTGAAACTGCAGGACACAAACGCGAAGGAATATCTGCCGCGCGGTTCAATTAAAAGCCGATCACTCACGGAAAACCGCGATGTTTTATCGCGAATGTGTCGATTAGGCGCTGGAGTTCAGTCATAGCGGTAATACTCTGCAGCAAGCGGAGGAATCATGTGTAGGCTAGTTACTACGATTTTCAATCGAAACGCCCTCTCTATAAAGCTTCAGCCAGGATCGGTTTATTTATTTCGAATTATGGCAGGGATGGCGCTCCATACTATTCTAGCTGACTTCAGGTTTCTTGAAAGAGGGGACATGCCATCGACTGCCAGAGCTTTTACAGGCATCTCGGTTTACAGCTTATGGATGTGTTTTAAACGGTGACATATATGCATCTCAAGGAATCCCGCAGATGTAATGTGTGGTGCACAGAGCCATAAATCTCGGTTTGCTGGAAGAAATCCTTTCAATGCAACCCAGCTCTGCATTAAGGTGCAATTCAGCCAAGCACCGCAAATTGTGCGTGCCACAAAACGCACACCTAAATCATAGGTAGTTTCATATTCCTGAGATCTGAACATCAGTTTTTAGGGCGTGCAACTGACAGTTGTCAAAAAACAACAACACTGTGATTGCTCACCCCAGCTGCTCGCGGTGCGCCCGATGAATTCCCCAGTCCGAGGGTTGTAGATAAAATCTTTCCAACTCGACTGTTTCTCGTCAGCTTTCTCCTCTTTGTTGGCCATGGCGCGAATAAGATGAATAAACCAGTTTGAGGACAAATCAAAGAAAGCGCTGATTCGGGCTCGCCACCTAGGCGCTATGAAATAATCGAGGTGTGCAGTCTTTCCGCGCGGCTCCAGACTGCAGCAGTCCGCGGCTCGCGCTCTCCACTAGCGGCGTTTAAAGCGCTCGGGCGCACGCGCAGTGGAGCCGCATCCAAGTGCGCACAGGAGTTTGCAAAGTGCGCCGAACTCGACAAGTTGTACAGAAACCTTCATAGAAAGCCAGGGGCTGGTTATTATTATTATTATTATTATTATTATTTTAAACCTCAGCGACTGCTTCTCAGGGTGGGGTTGAGTCAGGCATCTTGACTTGACTAAAAAAAAACGAAATACTATTGAGCATTTCCGCCGGGGTAAGTTGTCACAATAAGAACCTGCTTTTTAATTAGAGATTTTAGAAAAGACCTATTCTTAAAAGTATGAAGACCAATCTAAAGTTGATCTTGCAAGTTGTTTATTGACATTTTTCTCGTTTGATGTAGCTGTATTCTGCTTCAGAATGACATCTGATCTGAATATCCTTTGCCTATACCATATTTCTCATTGTATTGGTTTTGAAATAATAATAATCAAAATAACCACAAAAATAGAAAGTGTTGAAAATAGCAACTTTGCACCACAACAGAAAATGCTAATAATATTGGCTGTCTTAAAATGTATTCATTACGGATTAGTTTCTTCTTCTTGAAACACCTACAAACCTATGAATGAATGATTATCATCTTCTTAAATAATTACTAAGATCTCTCAGATCTATCTCTTTTCCTCTGGCCCTACAGAATAACAGCTCATTTTTATGCTAAACAGCATAAAGATCATATTTAGTTTAAGGATCTGGGGCCCGTTCTTGGTGCCTCGCTGAATATATCTGAGATGATTTGAAAGATGCCAGATCTTCTAATCCTGATAACTGATCACTGGCTAATTTGGTTCTTCAAACGAATTTGTGGATCTGATTAAAATATCTGGATTAAAAAAAGACACCTGACAAAACTTGACACATTTCTGGACCTTTATGAGGAAACAGCCAAGCGAATAAAACTACATAAATGTTATAATAGATCAATGAAATGTGCACTTTTTATTCATTCATTACATGATTCCAAATTATTTATATTCACGATTTCTAGTATTTGTGCAGGCTTTACATTTTTATTTCAATGTTGTAATTAGCAATTCATGTCATTTTATCTTTGAAGCAGATTTGTTATGTGACAACATTAATGAAAGTTTCTTTAGTATCTGCGTCTCCTGCGCTCCAGCAAGCCACTCCCATAATAGCGGTCAGCACTCAACTTAAAGGGGTCATATGATGCGATTTCAAGTTTTCCTTTCTCTTTGGAGTGTTACAAGCTCTTGGTGCATAAAGAAGATCTGTAAAGTTGCAAAGACTAAAGTCTCAAAAGCAAAGAGATATTCTTTATAAAAGTTCCGTCAGCCACGCCCCCCTAAAACGCCTCGTTCTAACACGCCCCCACATGTCTACGTCACTGTGTGGAAATATTAGCATAATGCGCCCAAATGTTCACGCAAAGAAAGAAGGCGTGGTTTCAGTAACAGCAGTAGTGTTGAAGCAGCATGTCAGGGAGACGCTGTGTGTTTCAGTGCGAAAGCAAAAGCACTTTATTTGGCCTTCTGGAAGTAGATGCAATTAGGAATCATTGGTTAAGATTTATTTACAACAGAACAGCACAACCCAGATGTTCGAATGTGTGCAACGCATTTTATGGACGACAGTTTTTTGAACCTAGAAGAGTACAAGGCTGGCTGTGCACAAAGGCTATTTCTAAATAAATAAATAATTTTTTTTTAAAAAGGTAAATTCTGACTTCGCTATGACAATCTGCTTCTGAATCAGAGACTGTAAGTATGTTTTGTTATTAGTTTAAGTATTTGCTATTGACTGTTCAAATGCGGAGTTTTGCACATCGCGTGTGTGTGTGTGTGAGAGAGTGTGTGTGTGTGTGTGAGGGGAACAGGAGAGTGAACTGTCAGAAATCATAGCACGTCAGCTGTCTTAAAGCACGACTCAGATTAATTGTACAGCATGTGTGTAAGACTCGAATACAATTATAAAGCAATTATTTTACCACAAATAAATATTTCAGTAAGTAAAACTGGCTGTGTCTATAGTATTATTGATTACACAATATTATATTATTTTCAAATACATTTTTAAATGATTATTATTTAAAATTATTGTCACCGGATTAGTGGGGTACTTTTGTAATAAAGTAGCAGTGGCTGGGATAGATTTTAAATATCAATTGCATTTAAAAAGATGCAATCTAATCCTGTTTACAGAGCAGGTTTAAGTGTACAGACCTGTTGCTATGACAGCAAGTCCAGGATGAGCTTCAAAGAACCAAATAATCCCAGATCATGCCAAATCATCAACAATCAAATCCAGCTAACTGAGCTAGCGACGTACGAAGAACGGGCCCCTGATCTGATGCACTCATGTCAAGTATATTTAAAATCTGTTAAATTCACATGAAGTATTGGTCTTGTGAACATAACCCAGTACTTACAAGGATATAATTTGCAATGCTGCTGAAATTATTTACTTTTTTACAGAATATCACGGTTTGATAATCGGTAATATTAATAATACCATGTTACTTTGAAGCATTGAGTTTTAAACCTTCATTTTTTTTCTAGACCACACCACACCACAGGTAACCAAAATTATATGTTTATATATGTATACATGTACATACAGTTACATTGCAAACCAAAATAGTTCTGTTGGGTTGAGTTGGTTTAAAACGCCGACCTGTCTGGTTCAGGACAGCTTCCTTTACATCTGCCACACTCAGTGCGAACAAAAACTCAAAAACTCTCTACATCTCCCAACATGCAACATTCAAATAGCTTGAGGCAACAGGCTGGCAGCTATCTGAACCCGGAACAGCGGAACAGCAGACCCATGTTTTATTTTTCTTCAACTATTGTGATGAATGACAAGGAATAAACTATACGATACACAAAATGACATTGAATCGACCAATAAAAAAAGAACATTTTTCCATTTTTTTTTAAATGCAAGGATGTAAATTCCCTCCAGTCGGTGAACAGTAAGATCAGGATGTTGCTTTCCAATCCCTAGGAGAAGAAAATAAAGTGGCACCAGCCCACTGGACTACGCAGATATCGTCATATTCAAATATGACCGAAATAAATACATTTTTGGGAAGATTTTGAATGTCTCTCTGGGTAGGGAGCAGAGAAGAGTAGTACACTGAGATGACAGTTGAACTGAAGATGTGTTAGCCTTCACTTATTCGCTCTCCTCTATGGCCCGACCCACGGCTCGCTAGCCAAAAAGCACCAGAAAAATACAGTAACCTGTCTCCCCCAGAACCAAAGACTTCTGGCGTTTGTGCCAAACTGGGAAAGAGGAAGAAAGAGATGACGAGGGAAGTTAAAAATATAGTAATATAGAGAGGAGTGGCAGCTTATTTCCTGTGTAGCGTTTCCTCCCCGGCTCGGCTCAGGATCACTCTGGGGAAGAGGGATTGTCATCGTCTTCATCATCATCCTCCTCTTCCTCGTTGAAGGAGCTGGGCGTCTGGCCACGGGACTCTGAGGTGTGTGACGGGGCTGTGCTGCTATGACTGTGAACAGAGAGAGAGACGGGACATCAGCTAAACGACAGCCTGATTGAAAGCAGCGGTTGGGATATCCGAGGATGCTGTGCTGACTGACATACCTTGTGTGGCTCAGAGGTGTTCTGTTGGAGTTTGTGGCCATGGCTGTAGGGACCGAATCACATGTTTTGTTTAGAAACCCGTATTAAAGGGATAGTTCACCCAAAAATGAAAATGAACCCATTATTTACTCACCCTCAAGCCATCCTAGGTGTATATGACTTTCTTCTTTCAGATGAATCCAATCGGAGTTATATTAAAAATGTAAGTCTTTGATCTTCCAAGCTGTTTAATGGCAGTCAGCGGGTGTTGCAGTGCATCAGTCCAAAAGAAGTGAAATAAAGCGCATCTATCCATAATAAAAAGTGCCTCACACGGCTCCGGGGGGTGAACAAAGGCATCCTGTAGCGAATCGATGCATTTTGTAAGAAAAATAACCATATTCAAAACTTAATAATCACTTTAATCCAGCTCACTGTTGTACACGGAAGCAGCTCCGAAAGGATGACGCAAGATGTCGGTGTTGTGCATGCGCCGGTGAGTCTTGTGAAAACCAACGTTTGTTTACAGGAGCAAAGGAAAACCAGTCTCCTTCTTGGCTTATATCAAAATCCGCCGACATTCTTCTTTACAAATCCTCGTTTTGTACTTCTAATTAGTGACCGTTGTTTTGTTTGTCTCTCCCCTGCGCTTCTGCGTTCGTCACTTCTGAGCGGCGCATGCACCAAGCCGACCTCATACGTCATCTGCCCAGTGAGCGCAAGCTAGATTAAATTGATTATTACGTTTTAAATATGGTTATTTTTCTTACAAAAACGCATCGATTCGCCTTTGTTCACCCCCCGGAGCTGTGTGAGGCACTTTTTATTATGGATGGATGCGCTTTATTTCACTTCTTTTGGACTGATGCACTGCAACACCCGCTGACTGCCATTAAACAGCTTGGAAGATCAAAGACAATTTTTAATATAACTCCGACTGGATTCATCTGAAAGAAGAAAGTCATATACACCTAGGATGCCTTGAGGGTGAGTAATTCATTCAATTAACCCTTTAAAGACAGCAACTCGACACGCATAAATGAAACGCTGCTTTATTTGCACAGGAAGGAAATCTGTGGCTGAAGGGTAAAACGGAGACTGATATAGAAGATGAAACGACTGAAAGGAAGTTTTATCAGAGCATACACGTGTGCCATGAGATACTCACTGGTCACATATGCTTCCAGAGACTTGGGCACCAGAGATGTGGCCACGCTGAGGTTCTCTGGAGAGCATGTGCCGTTCTCGAGCCCCAGAGACATGCCCATCCGCTTCAGGATCTCAACGTCATCATGGATCTCAAATGTGTTGTCAAAGTTAAAGAGGTATTCACACCTGTTTGCAGGAACGAGTCAAAGATACCATCATTACAGTCAGTGCATAAAATGGTAAAGTAAATGCCCAGTAACAATACACTACCAATTAAAAGTTTAGGGTCAGTAGGATTTAGTTTTTTTGAAAGAAATGAATTCTGACATTCAGCAAGGATGCATTAAATTGATCAAAAGTGACAGTAAAGATATTTGTTACAAAAGATTTCTTTTGCAAATAAATGCTGTTCTTTTGAATTTTCTATCCATCAAAGAATCCTGAAAAATAATCCACAAAAATATAAAGCACCACAACTGTTTTCAACATTGATAATAATCAGAAATCAGCATATCGAAATGATTTCTGAAGGATCATGTGACACTGAAAACTAGAGTAATGATGCTGAAAATTCAGCTTCGATCACAGCAATAAATGACATTTTACAATATATTAAAACAGAAAACAGTTATTTCAAATTGTAATAATATTTCACAATATTATTGTTTTAACTCTTTTGATTTTTGATCATAAATGCAGCCTTGGTGAGCAGAACCTTATTTTGTTTTATTTGTTTTTAAATAGATGTATGAATTATCATTTACCCGGTTTATTTATCCATTTTATGAAGGATCATATGACACTAAAGGCTGTAATGATGCTGAAAATTAATCACAGGAATACATTCAAATAGAAGCTATTTTACACTGTAATAATATTTCGTTTTTTTTTTGTTTTTTTTTTAAATCAAATAAATCCAGCCTTGCTCAACACAAGACTGAAATTTGAAATGTTTTTCTGAAATGAGCATTTTTCTCAAGCTCCTATGTGTAGGTTCAGTAATTTCACTTGAATAAGTTTTTCATTGCCAATAAAGTGAAATAACTGAACATAAATATCGGAAAATGCTAGAAAAATGCACATTTTAGAAGAACATTTCAAACGGCACTTAGAGGCTTTTGCATCTGAACTCTTCATATATACACACACATTTACAACCAAAGAACCTTGTTTATTTATCCATTTTACTAGGTTTATGAAATCAGTGGAGGATATTTCTACAGAAGAGAGAAAGGGAGAGAGCCGTAAGAAAAATGGAGAACAGAAGCCAAACGGGTGGAGAAAGATCTCGTACTTATCACTCGAGATGGAGCAGTCGATGACGGTGCGGACGTCAGTGTTGAGAATGATAAAGGGAAGCTGAATGACAGATCCTGGAGGGGGAGTTGACTGGGACAAGGCTTCGCTGGCCTGGTTCCTCTGCACCAGATTCTTAAAGGCGATCTGCTGCTCACGGATCAAAGAGACGCACAGATCAGCACACCCCCTTAAAGGTCCACTCATTAAAGGGTTAGTTCACCCCAAAATTAAAATTCTGTCATTAATTACTCACCCTCATGTTGTTCAAAACCCGTAAGACCTTCGTTCATCTTCGGAACACAATTTAAGATATTTTTTATGAAATCTGAGGGCTCTCTGACCCTTCCATA